TTTCCATTTTCTTTTCCATTAATCATTGTCCCAAAATAATCCCAACATACTATGGTAGTTTCCATTTTCCCATTTTCCCAATAAAGGGTCCTGGCCTGAGACTGCTTCGCTCGGAGCTCAGCCATGTCAAGCTCCTTGGGACGGCTGGGCGTTCGTGGCTTGCATTTGCAAGCAAAGGGTTCAAGAGAGTGACGGGTTTAGGTGGGGGTTCGATTTGCAGCTGCTTTGGGTTTGTAGGCACTCGGATTTGTAACTGGTGATGGGCGGTGATTGGTTTTGGGCTCAAGACCGCACAGCTTGCGAAGTTGGGGGATGTCGGTTTTGGGTGCCTTCAGCCAAAAGAAATGAAAGCTTGACCAGCAAGTGATGACTCTCAAAGAGTAGCATGAGTGTAAGATTCAGGTGAGAGGTTTGTGCCGAAGTACCTGTGAGCTTACACTTGACAATCCTCCAGACTCCAAACACATGAGCGTCTGACCTGGCAAGTTCCACCCAAAAGACACCAAAGGCATGTCATAGCCTAGACCGCGTGACATCTCCGGAAGGGATCATCAGTCTGCTGCGTTCGGGTTCAGGATAGCTGTGCCCTTACCTAGAAGGAAGTTCTCCAAGTTTCAGTTCTTTTCGCATGATCACGCTTGAGAGACTTCAACCTCTTTCGACATGATGTCTTGAGAAACAACCATCATGCATCCGCCTCATGTAAGGTCTGGCATGTGAGCCCTGATCCAATGCATTTCAAGGCCTCGAAAAGCCATCATACAAGATGAAAAAGCCGTGTCGTCACAAAGTGAACTCGTCATCTCAGAAATTCAATGTTTGTGGAGATTGGAAGTGAGGGAATGGGTGATGGGACATGTGACAGGGACAAGTATAAGTGTGAGGGATTGTACAGGGACTACTTCGGGATCCGTCCTCCCATCCCCGAAAAGCATGAGTTCGTCAGAATTTGAAAACAACCCCTCATTGCGAGCCTTGCGGTCGACGGCTTCTTTGATCGCCTGGCCGACAAATTGCTCCATGAAACTGCAACTGTCACCAAATCAATTGGGCTTGTTTCCCGAGTAGCTACTGGAGAAAGTCAAATGTCTAAGGGCGTGTTGCGAAGTTTTCTGAAGAAATGCCTTCCCACCTCAAGGGGAATCTGCCTCGACCCGCTTTCAGAGCAAATGACATCCTTCTGAATCTTCTCAAAGCACGCTACCCGTCTCAATCAAGAACTGGGCAAAAATGGATTCGACGAGGATCAGCTAGGCAAAGACACATAAATCTACAGCATTACACGGAAAGGCAACACAACACAAACTGCGCCCACTATCACGTATACTCGAACGAACCTTGAACTCGAAGCTCGTGCAAACGCAGTCTTTATCAATTCCATTCCAACTACAGACACTGAAATGGATCCAATCCCACCTAACATGACATCCACCAAAACTAAACACAAACTCAAGATTCCTGTACATCTCAGAAACCCGATGAGTTGCTCGAGACGGGCCTTGGCTCTCTCAGCATCCCGCATTTTCCATCTTGCACGGAGCTGCCTCGACCAAGGGTGCCAAAGTTGGCAGTTCTGCTTTTGAAAGGCGAAGGGGTGAAGGGCTCAGCGTAATTCTTGATTCGAGCGATGCAGGAAGGCCTGGCAGGATAAAACTCATCAACCGTACTTGGGGTCCAGCTCAGAGAGCGAAACATCCCAAAAAGCACAGGCAGGGACTTGCAGAAACATATAATTTATACTCTTGCTCCAGCGCAAGAAGCCATAATTGGAAGCATGGTCTCCCAAACTCCGGAAGGTCCAAAGATAAACCAAACTGGTACCTCGACATACATATCATGAGTCTGTATAGACACGAAGCCAAATTCCAAACTCCTAGAAAGGAAAGCCTCAATGTGGCGCGTAGCTCTGAACTCTACACTGCTTTAATGTGTTTCTCAAAAGCCCTAAACCCGCTTGTCCTGTAGTCCTCCGCATCGCGCTCTTCGATGCGCTCCTCTTTGGCCTCAGAAGACAGATTTTTAGGAGGGGAGGTATTGAGGAGTAGGATTACAATTGCTTGGGTATGTTAACGCTCTCCTTAATTGTGGACAAACCTATTTCATTTGAAGATCGTCAAACGATCACGTAGGCGTACAGGAAACCTTGCCCTTGGTTCTATCCTAGACTTTCCGATGAGTCCCCTATTGTCATGGAAAGCTACGATCCAATTACTGAACTATTTTTCGGCGAAGCATCGAGCCTGCAATCCCCCATCCCTAGGCACGAATGCCTTCACTTCAAAGCATGGTGGAAATGGTTACTGAGCGGAGGGTGCAGAGACCACTCCCACTAAAGCGCGCAAAGTGCCTCTACAGCGATGCGGCGTTGTCTCTGCCGCTCCTTTTCCAAGCGGCTCGCCTCCGGGGCTCAAGTCTTAGTCGAGGGGTCCTTGAGGAAGAAGGGAAGGGTATTTTTAGTGAGTACAGAATTGGTCGGCGTGTAATGGTACTTGCACGCATGCGACACTCCAGAAGGTGTAGAATGGGATTCGCGAAGCAATGTCAGATATCCCACAACCTTCAAGCTCTGAACAACAAAGAAGAAAGTCTCCTCACGGATCTGATTCCACAGGCCGACTGCAAGTTGCAGTGCTCCCTGATCACCCTCTTCGCATTCCCTCTTCACAACAACTGGAGCCAAAATTGATCAGGTAAATCGAGGACTCTAGATCCTCTCAGTGAAGAGCAAGGCTGCTGTTCAAAAGTGCTTGATGGTGCAGATCCTCATGGTTCAAAAGCTGCATTTCAGCAGCCTCCTTCTGTCTTCTCTCCAGCTCCTCCTTCATCTGCACCTCAATGAGCCAAGGCTTGCATTTCGCAGCGTCGCAGGGTCCACTGTTGGCGTTGGATTTTAGAGATCTGGAACGACAGCTTAGCCTGAGCTTCCGAGGCAAGTTCATTTTCCGCAGCAAATCTTCCTGCCGTAGCTAAGCTAAGCGTGTAGGTACAGTTGATATTCCTGACCAAACTGCACCCACTTTGCTACAACTCTTTCCTGCCACGCGGGTGGCTAGCGCGGTGTTTTGTGATTACAGTCGCTGGCACTCATCTCCAAGCAGGAAGTTCTTCTCTTAACATGGCTAGCTGCACATCCGCTTCTCAAGCCCCAACCCCTGAGCCAACTCTGAACCTGAAGTCCACCCCTGGGCTCTGAACGCTACAGCTGCTGCGAGCCGCATAAGTGCCGGGCGCGTCGCGTGCGCTCGGCTTCCAGTTTCTCGTGGTGCTCACGCTTCAGCCTGGCAGAGGCAGTGTGCGAATTAATTATGCGACGAGTACAGCCAGGTATTGAGTTTGCAGGCTTCATACGTTTAAGGACGTGATTTTGGACTTGTGGGCTCGCATGCATGGACTGCTCACAAAGTACACAGGGACCGTGATGCAATTGCTCAACGGCCTTATGTCGTGGAAATATCACCTCCTTGGCTGCCTCCCTTATGCTCAACGATCTGAGTTCTTGTGGGATTTAAGCGGTATCTGGATTTGCTCATCTGCCATTGAGGCATGATGGTGGGCTTGGGCTTAGTGAGAGTTTAGGGTTGGAGGGTTGAAGAAAATCAAGCCCCGACTGAAGTCTGACAATCTGCTCACAACGAAGAGGACCCCTGGCGTCATTGGCCCCAACCAGGACCAATCCTGCCAATGCAGTTGAACGCTGGAGCAATCCAGGCATTATAGCCTCAGAGGGCCCCTGTTAGTCCTTCAAGAGGGTACAAAGCTGGCCTCTTGTCCTCTTCCTTTAGCCAGAAGACCTGGGCACGGCAGCCAGAAATCAAGAAGCAACAAGCCACTGCAAACTGGGGAGGAATTGGCTCCATGTCCCAACTGGATCAGGGAGAATCTCTTCGACACAGTCTGAGCTCGGATTCCCGGATGTCTTGCAATCAACAGTCCCCATTCCGAGTATCTGGAGGAAGAAAGAAAACCCTGACCTCATGACTCGAACTATCTTCTCAGAATCCTTCCAAGACTCCGGGGTAGGAAGAACCATGCTTAAAGCATTCTCCCAAACTCAGAGTCAAGGCCGCTGCATACCTCAAAGCTCCACTCAGACGGATCCAAATCCCCAACTGCAGATCTGAGAAGGGTCTCTCCAGCTTGTAGAACCCCCAGCGGGGTCCACCAAAAATCACAGGCCAAAATAACAGTGACAGAAATGAGCTCGTGGCGTGCTGCAGAAACTTCTGCCTGGACTCCTGCTTTCGCTTCGCAATGTTCTCATTGCGCTTGATGTCTAGCCTGAGCCAGTGATGAGGAACAGGAAAGACTTCACTCTTTGCTCTCACCTGAATCTCAAACCCCTCACAAGAGTCCACTGCCCCAAGAGATCCCAGCAGGCTGCTGCCAGCACAGGATTTACGGTGAGTCCTCTCTTGAGTTTCCTTAGAGCATGAAAAAACCTCGTGTGAGGTACCCTCTTGAGGCTTAAGTTCGATAAACTTCCTCAAAGGAAACGATCCAAAACTCTGCTTCATTCTGTCAGAGTTGAGGACCAAGTTGTCGCATCTGGGTCATTCAACTCATGCTTGTGGTAAGGCGCATCATAGTTCACTAGCATGTGATGAAGGCAGAAGACTCTTTTGCAGAAGAGAAAGGAGACATATGGGGCACGTAACCGCAAGTTTGTAATGATTCTTGGCCCTGCATGAGGAGGCTCAGCTGCCCGCATGTCCATCTGCTCGCGCAACCTTTGCCGCTCTTTGAGGTCCTTCACATACGATGTAAACTCCAAAGTTCGCTGAACCCTTAATCCGGCACACTGCAGACTCTCTCAGCATGTGAAGGGCTTGTGTGTGCAGCCTTAACAGAACATTGTCAGACGAACTACGTCCCTTTTCATCCTTAGAACAGACGAGAAGCGCAGGGCTCCAGGCTGAATATTCCAGCTTGTGCTGTAGCTCTTGCCACACCAGGCTTGTCTGCATCGTATGCAACATGCTTCAAGAGGGCTTCCGACGGTCCATGCGCCCCGTCGGGATCTTTCGAACCGTCTCGTAGATGGGGAGCTCTGGCACCTGTAAGCTGACAGGGTTAGGTTTGTGGGATTCCAGGATTCAGGGAGGCTTAAAGGGGTTCAAAAAAGGAAATACAGCAGTAGTAGCGACAGATTATGCATAATCATGATGGAAGGTTCAGGGCTTTAGGGTGAAATGGGGTTTAGCCTGAAGGCTTCGGGAAAAGGGGATAGTTTGAGACTTCAACTCCCTGCAAAGACGACATCATATGAAGCCAAAGCGCATGGCTTTGACCAAACAGTCCAAAGGAGTTGGGGTTGGGGGTTAAGAGACATGCCTAGGTTTTCCGGAAGCCATCCGAAAAAACAAAGCTGCACTGAAAGCTCAAAGGCCCTGAACCCCTAAAACCTACAACCCCTTCTATGGCCCAAAAAACTCTAAACCCCTACTTTCTGCGATCCTAAATCCAATAGAAGCCCTCTGACAACCCTTCTACCTCTTAAACCCCTACAGCCACGCTCTTGGCCTCGTGGGTCGGCTCTGGCTGCAGCTTGAGCTGACGGTCCTTTCCAACCTGGCACCGTGCTCTGAGGTGAAGAGGAGGATCTCTTGGCAAAAAGATCCAGGCGAAGCCGAGGTGCTGTCAGGATCGCCAGACGCTCTGCAATCCAGTGAAATCGGCCTCCGAAGTTGGGCGAGGTTGGTGAGGTTCAGCTGTTTTGATTTCTCGGATGCAGGGGCTCAGTAGCGAGGGTGGGGGCCGGGGCTTGGTATTTGAGCGGTCCATGTCAAGATAAGGACACGAGGCTCTAAAGCTCTGGCTTCTGAGCAAGGACCGCCTTCTGAAGGCCAAAAGCCGGAGCCCAAAAGACAACGTCTCATCACACTTCAGTGATCCCTCAGAAAATGGGCTCTGGCCTTCTGTGGCCTGGTCATACATTGTTTTGACTCATTTTGAAAATCATCCTGAAAGCTATCCTTAATCAATCCCCTTGCTGTGCGCTATGTGTTTCGCCTGTATCCCGGAAAGCCCGCCTTCTTTCCGATTGGGATTCATGAGCTCCGCCTCAGACGCTCCAGTGCTTCTATCTATTTCCGACTTGGGGTGGGGCGTTTTCATTGGCTTGTCACTATCCGGATCCCTTGCGAGTCACTCTCAAGTGATGCAACTGGCAGCAAAGCTATGCCTTCATCAAACTTGGTGTGCTCCCAAGAAGAAAGATGGAGTGTACCGGTTTGGCTACAGGCTTGGATAAAAACTTGATCATCCTGCACGTGCACAACCAACACACCCACAGGAGCGCAACAGAGAGTGGTGACCAAGAACCTTGTCTTAGAACAAAAACAGAAACTCCAGAAAGGCCAGAGTGTGCAAGAGTAGCGCCACCCGCAGCCATAAACAAAGCAGCCTGCAAACTGTTTGACTAAATGGCAGGTGGCTTCTCGTCCCGACACAACCCTAAACCGCCTCAGCACACCGAACTTAGTACCGGCTGCGCGATCCAGGCTGAGCAAAAATTTGGGTAACAGATTGACTTGCAAACGACTCATGTCAATGCACGCAACGCCCAAGCCTAAAGTTCGCCACTGCTCCATCATACACCAAACGCCTTCCTGAGAATTCCTCAACCTCAAGCAGAGAACAAGTTTGGCAAATCCATCAGAGCACGACACTGCCTAGTACAGAAGATTTGGGCTTTGGCCGTAGCTCATATGACCCCTATACGAGGGGCTCGGTAAAGGGGAACGACGATGTTAGTTCACAGTCCACCCACCTCACAGAGCAATCCAGATTTTACCCATGAGCCGCAAGCATTGAAGCGAAAGAGTCCATCGAAGTCCTGGTAGCTATACTGGATGTGAAACCTGAGAGAGAGCCATTGGGAAACTCGAGGTTGAGGCTGCATGACTCAGGATGTAGGAGCAAACAGGTTGGCCAGGGGACGAGACCAATCCTAACATGAGGTTGCTTTGCTTCGCGCTGAGTCTGGGGTAAGGGGATTTCGGGAAGGCCCTTAAGATTCGTTGCAAGTCCGACCTCTCATGGAAAAATGGGCAACAAAAATCAAATGCACTTGCTGAAATCACGAAAGCAAAGGGTTTGGGCTCATCTCCTGTCAGGAAGCATCTGCTGCAAGAAGGCCTCAAAGGGGCGGCTGGGACTTGCCAGGTAGATTGAGCAAAAATATGAGCTGAACACCAACGCCCATCAATCCCCATCCCGATGTGGTACTCCCCTGGAGCCGCTGAGGGTGTGACTGATCTTGCGTCTCTAGACCATATGTCTCAAAGGTGACAGCACGCCGCTTGGTATGGTCATAGACGTTGATGAGGAATGTCTGGCGGGAGGGAGCCGCAGTGCTGGGATGTTTTTGGTGCGCAGCTTGGATTTAATGTCGGCTTGGAAGCTTTGGCTAAAGATGCTTGAAGCCGTGATGTTTAGATCCGCAATCAATTCAATATGCTTTCATGCAAGCGAAGGGTGACAGCCAGCCTCTGCATTGAAGAGCTTGCTCTCTTGGTAGACTAGCGGTCCCTTGTCCTCCGGCATACACGACATCCTTCTTCGCTTCCAGGGTGCATATCATAGCGACAATCCAGATCAGGCGCAAAAGCCAGTATCCTGCCATACCAATATGTGGCATATGGTCGGTGGTACCTGCCCAGACCAGCAGTTGATCACCCTAATGAGCATGCAACCTCGTAGGGGGCCTGAAAATTTCAGACCCACAGAATCCCTGGAAAAGACCCTAAACCTGAACCCTAAATAGTAGTTTCCATTTCATTTTCCATTATCCAAATATTACCCCAATATAACCCCCATACAACCCCAACATAACCCTAATATTACCACAAGATAACCCGAAGACTACCTCCATATAACCCTAATATCACCGCAATATGACCCTAATATCATCCCAAGATCACCCCAATAATACCCAAATGGGCAAAACAAGCCTAACTGCTCTCGCATCGGTTGGCTCCTTCTCGTCGAAGCCATCCTCGCCCTCGGTCCTGGGCGGCAGCATCTCATATAAGGACTATAAAGGCATTATATAGGGAGCTTATGAAGGTCATATAGCAACTATATAGGTCTCCACAGAGAACCAGACCCCCTCAAAAATTGCACCAGAAGATGCCACTGGGAAATGGGTACTGAGCCTACAATCCCCAACGCTACCATCTCCGAGTAAGGTTCTAGGCTAAGTCTGCCTCATGCAGGTGCAACGACTTTTCAATAACGCTAGAACTTTGATCGAAACTTTAGGTCCCTGCCAATCCCTAAAGTCGTACCCGTGGCATTGAGCTCAACTGTGATGCTTTGTGCTTTTACACACGAAACCCGCAACCGTGAGTGCCCACCTTACATAGATGGCTTAAACCCAGCCTAAAACCCCGAATTGGATCGCCTCGTTTCATCAGAATTTCTGCCTATGCGGCACTAGCATGCTTGCATTCTGCTTTGCTAGTTAAGCAATGCTAGTTCGTGTGCTTATGGCACCTGAGGGAAAGTCACCATCCTGCATTGACCCTCAACCGGGGCTCTGGCATGCCGAGGCCTGGCAGGCAAATTGGGGATTTCAGACCCTCAGCCCCGAGGTCAGGAAGAATTTAGGCTTCAAGCTTTGAGGGTAGTGACCAGTTCAAGAAGAGGAATAAGAAGTGCAGCCCCGAACCCCAAAGCTTGAAAATAGGCGCTTTCTGATCAAGCCTGAGAACACTGGCTGTATTCAGGGCTCTAAACGGTGAGTTTGTGGAGGCTTGCTACCACACAGACATAAGAAAATACCCAGCTAGCCCTAGGCCCAAGAACTCCGATCCCTGCAAGTAATGTGTAAATACTGCTACGACGCCTATGCTATACTACTACGTCTGATGCCCTGATGAACCGAAACCCCAAATCCTAAACCCCAGATTTTAGAGTAAAATGACCAGCTGCTGGTGCACTGACCCATGCAGTTCCCATCTGATTTTCAAACAAGCACAAGCACTCAAAACCCCTACCAGCAAACTATACAGGGCGGGTGTGGCGGGGCTGCCAACAGTGGAGTGCACATGGCTCTACACAACTACACGATGCTCCCTGAGCACAAGAGGTTTGAAGGGAGCATGAGGCATTTGAAGGCACAGATCTTGGGACATTCGACTCTGCTCACAGACGTGCTTCAGACTGGCATCTCTTCCCACAGACCACTCTGCAGGAATAGCCTCTTCATCCTAAGCTCTAAGCACCAAACCCAAGACCCAATTCTTACTCTTTCCACCCCCAGTAACCAGCAGCCACAGCAGCCACTTAAAGGAACCGGCCTGGACAGCGCCGAAAGGACGGCCGCCCAGGAAACGCTTTGAGCCCAAGCCAGCCGAAACCCCCAAGGCAGCAAGATCAGGATGTTCAAGCCCGGTTTACTGGGTTCTGTTAAGGAACTTCATTTCAGTTACCATATTGTGGAAACCCCATTATTTACTCTATGTATATGTATATATATATACATATACATATATGCCCATTGTGGTAACTTAATCTAAGTTCCTTAACAGCAACACAGGTTTTGAGCCTTGAAGCTGTAGGGTTTTGGGGTTTAGGGTTAGGGTCGTAGTCTCTAGTGTTGTATTTCTTGGAGTGATTCTGTAGTTGGGGCCGGTTGGGGCTTCAGGGTTTCGAAAGATGGGGCTTTGGATTTTGTAGCTTAGGGTTTCGGATTCTAGGGAGGAGTGTTCACACAGGCCTCCGTCCAAAGTAGAGTCCTTCGACGGCCCCTATGCAATCCTTGTTTTAAATCCCATGCAAATAATTAGAACAATACCCTACTTACGGAGGCAACTTCACCAAAGCCCCCTGCTTCAGCAGCTTGTAGCATGGGCTTCATGGCTTTAGGATGGGACTTAGGCCTGTTGCATTCATCCCTTAGCCAAGTGTTCTGAGTTGGAAACGTATTTCTCCTGGGAAGAACGGTTTGAGGCAGGCGCAACCCACATTGAACTGCATCTAGGAAAGTCGTAAGACTAACAAATCGGCTATTGCTGGAATTAGAACTCACTTGCAAGTCTTAGCGCACCGCTAGATGATGTGTGCTGGGAGAGAGAGCCCTTCAAATTAAATTGACATGCCACTCAACAGCCTGCAGAATCCCGTCACTGTCTTGCAGCTTCGTGAAACCATTTCCGAAACAACTAATGCAACCTGTCATATTGAGGGGAGTCTAGCATTATCAAGCGGCTTAGAGTCGCTTTGAGTACCCATTGGCTTTATTCTTCGTAATCATGGTGAGTCATCACTGTGATATGGACTGGTAGCAAACGGCCCCACGAAACTCGAGAGCCACTCTTTTGGCTCCACACTGCAGTGTCATATAGCGTGCCGTTCTCTTGCTCTCAAAGCATTCACTCGCGTGCTGCCACTGAATTGGGCCCCTACATTAATAGCTGCTGAAACAGGGCATGAAAGGGAGGCCAAAGAATAAAAAGGATGAACATTGGTCCATACAGCGGCGCTTGCAAAGGCTCTGCAACGGAATGGTGAATGCAGGGGAAGGAGGAAATCCAAAGGCATAACCTAACAACGATCGAAGAAAGATCCGCAAGAGGCCCCACTTCCACACATCTTTGCATTTTCTTCTTCACCAACTGGCCTCTCAAATCCAAGATCCCAACAGTCTGCTTCAGCAAAACTCTGCTTAGACCATATTATACTCTTCCGTATAATCCTTATGAATCTTATTATAGGGACCCCCAAAATGGTACCCCTACTTCTACTGTCTCTCCTACCTTGGAACCTTGGAAGCTGCGAGTGATGTGCTTCGAGTCTGGGCGCAGGGGCCAGGGTGGACCTGCCGACATCAAAACCGGCTCCTGGTGGGCTGCGGTAGCCGTCTACTGCTACTTGGAGTTCCGTACTAAGGGGACCCCAATATCATAATCCTCATCATGGGGACCCCCAAGGCGGTACCCCAAATTTTAAGCTCCCATCTACCATCTACCATTGTGTCCATGCTACGAAGCCCTGGTCCACGCCGTCTAGAAGAGTCCGAAAAATGGGCAACCACGGCGACATTTTTCTCGAGTTCGGGATGAAAATTCAGGGGGCGGACAGATTTCCAAAATATGTTCCCAACCCTCAAGATTCCCAAATTCACGCCTTAAATATTTGCTGGCAGCTCTGCGGCAAGCCATGCCGGCCTTTAGCCTCAACATCCAAAAGCATCCAAAGCTTAAAGAAAAAACGTCTAAGCCTTTGACAGCTCAACCCCAACCCACCATGGTATGGCTAAGTATGCTATGGTGCTTGTGTTCTGCTATGGGCGCGCAAGCCGAGCTCAGCATCCCGTGCGACCTTTCTCGGGCAGCTCTTGGTTGGGTCATCCTAAGGCTTGTATGAGAAGTTCAGGGGGCGTACGATGCTAGTGAGATTGTCCAACCACGCCAGACACTGCTTTGTTCTACAAGATTGCGCATAAACTGCTGCTCTCTAGTCAGCATCCTGTTGCCCAACCGAGGCTAAGCACGTAACGACACGATGGAAAGGTATTGCTGGTGCCTTAGGGGTTTCTGAGTTCAGGGCTCTGCTCGACAGCTTTCAGCTTAAGGTCGAAGTTCTGTGATTTCGAGCAAACAATGGCATGAGAAATTTGCGGCTTCCAACCGCTAGCACCTCTTTTGGACCCTTGCTGCAAAAAGGCTGCAAAATTTGGTAGGACGAAAACGACACCGATTGTGAGTAGCCGATGTATTTTGGATTATCTCAGATACGGCCATGCATTTTACAAACTAGGCTGGCCAAAAACGGAGCCCAGATCAAACGTGAAGTTGCCAAGGTCGTGGAGAGGTGCAACTGCCCTGGCAGGCATCAGAAAAGTCAGCCAGTTGACAGCGTCACGTGTGAACGTCGATGGTGATAGCTTCTGTTCTTCAACGACCCCCACCTCACTTTCTGAATCTGCAGCTCTCCCTTGACGTTACCAAAGCCCAAGGCCCAGAAAACAAACACTCGACCCAGAGAGCCATATCTTGAAACACTACTTTGAAGGAGCGAGGCTAGTTTGTGCCGTTATATAGTATATGGGGGTAGGGGTGGGGGTGTTCATAATGGATAAAACGGTTCTCTGGTAATTCATGGGGTTCATGATGAGGAATCACAAGATCTTGTTCCTGGGGTGTTAGGGTTTAGGTTTAGGGCTTTGAGATGTTGGATTGATAGATGTGGGCTTAAGGTTGGAGATTTACAGGTGGTGGTTTAAGCCTTTCCCAGTTGAAGAGAAACCCATTTGTAGAGGTTAGCACTATTTCGTCATTACAATTTTGCTTTACCTTTTATCTCTTCTGCAACATTACCATGACGTCTTCAGGCCCCTGAAGCACTTCACTTGCTGAGTTTCCAGCCGTCACTAATACCTCAGCTGGGTGGCGCGTTGCACAGCTTGTGTAGCTTCCTATCCTTCTCATTCACTGAATACGTAAAGCATTGCTGCAACAGCCCTATTCTCGTCACCATCAGTTACAACAATGATATGTTTGGAAAAGCCCCGCCGCTTGCAGCAGCAATCCTTAACCCTGAGCCGGCTGCTGCAAACAAACAAGAATGACTGGTTTCGGGTGGAGCTGGCGGATTGGGATGATTATCGTCAAAGTACGAAAGCAGAAAGCCTACTACGTCGGCTTGCTGTCTTCACCATTTTCTGTGTTCTATTTACGCAACGATTGCTGTTTCTGACTTCGTTCGTTGAATGACTCTCAGGCCTAGCACTCAACGCCTAAAAATAGACTTACTGCTGAATGGTGGAAAAGATCTTGCAAGCATCGAGCTCAGACCGGCATAAATGAGATCACTCCCAGAGCAGAACCTTCAGTTGCGGAGAATGACTTGGGGGGACGGAGACTCTAATTAATATGCAAAGAACTATAGAAGGACATGGTGTTGTAGAAAGAGTCATGAAGAAGTAGAATCTATCAGTATGAGTATTAAAGGAGATCAACAAGACACCCAAAAAAATTGTATGGCACCAGAAAGTTCTAGATACTCTATACCCCTTGCCCTCCCTAGAACAGGGGCTCACACTGCCAATGAATTTCCGAGTAGGGATTTCTCAGCATGTCCCCTGTAAAATGCTGACTGGTGCTACCACAGCCCGGCCATAATCTCCAAGCCTAAGCCCTCAACACTAAGCCCTGACGCTCATCTAGAAATCCAAACTCCAGTCTCAAACCCTCAACGCTCATCCCTAGACTTCCCTAAACCCTAAACCCTAAACGCAAAATAGTAGTGTCCATTTTATTTCTCATTATCCCTATAGAACCCAAATATTATGAACCCCGTTGTTGAGCTCCCAGCGGTCCCGGGCGCATGCTGCCGGACTGGGCGAACTTGACCATAATATGCCCATCTCCTGAAGCCAGCACCGCGCATCACTAAAGCCCAAACCCTAAACCCTAAACCCTATAGGGGAATAATGGAAAACAAAATGGAAACTACTTTCGAAGGGTGTATATATAGGGGATCTATATAAGTTTAGGGCTTAGGGTTTGAAAACACCGGCTGTGATAAACTGAGGGCTGCAGGACCTATAGAGGGTTTAAGATGAATTCTATGGGGGTCTTGGAAAATCCATACCAAGATTGTGCCCAGGGGCCGTAGCATCTACATAGGATCTAGGGATAAGGGTGGCCATGAGTACATAAAGATTACTCGATATGTAGGGGATGTTGGGGTAAGATGGGACTACAAAAAAGCTGAGGGTTCCTACTCTGATGTTGAAAGCTCACACGGAATCAATCGTCTTGCTGGACTAGGTAACACACACGATGCGAGTAGCTCCTTTGAGGAACTACAACCTGCACTGGTTCCGGTGACACCTAGGAATTTTGCTGGGCCCTCTTCCTTCAAGCAGAACCGAACCTTAAAAAATGCTTTAGACATCAACTGCTAATACACTGATTGTGAGACCTCAGCTTGAATCTTCAAGCCCCTGCCTGGGCGAATCTCATACTTCTCGTGCAGGGTCAGAACCTTTAGCAGATCACTGTGTGGGAGCGTTCCAGAAAAAATATAGAAGGAATCTGCAAGTAGCGGAGGTACCTCTTGGCAAGTTCTCATGCGACTTCGACTCGAGCCTACCATGCAACATCTGTAACAAGCCCAAAATCCTAAGACTGGAGCAGCAACTATAGTCATACTTGGAAACAACTGGAAGAAAGCAAGATGAATCCTTACCAGCAGGGCTTCAGGCGGCAGTTTCAGCCTCCGTGGTATTGGAGTACCTGTGCTCGCAAGTCCCCCGGCAGGAAAAAAGTGCCAGGGGGATCCTAGCATTGCTTTCTAAAACCAGGCGTAGCAGCCGATGAAACCCTACCGTCTGGAGCCTCCAATGCCTCTTAACCAACAATCCTCACCTATATCCAGAGCTTACAGATCAACAGTCCACAAGGCACCCCTGCAAGAAGCAATGAATCTCAGGGAAGAGCTTGAAATCGCCGCCGTCGCGAGTCTTGGTATCTTGATGTACTTTTATGGACCCGAGTAGCTGGTATCACAAGACCCGTATCAAAGGAAATAAATTGGAAATCTGACCTCAGTGGGCCCCTCAATTACTGGTAGAGGTCAGCAAATGGAACTCCTACCTCAGACTTCATTTAGAAGAGAGGGCACTCGACGAAGGCGCAGCTCTGACCGCTCTTGGACTTCCCGGCCATGACGTGAATGTTGACGACCTCAGCCGTTGGGAACCCATGCCATGTGAGGAAGGCTATACATGGGCTGGGGTCGAAATAGGGGCCCACATCATGTTTCAAGACAAGATGTTCATAGGCTTCTTTATCAGGAGTCTGTCCGTCACCGTTGGCTCAGGGGCCCAAGGAAGGGACCCCTAACTTCGCTAGCCAGATTCCATGTCCCAGAGCTATGAGCTCGGGTCTTCCAAAGAGGGATGCAATTCCTACGTTCTCTTGCGGAGCATGGAGATCATGAAAGTTTCAACAAGGCTCTGCAATGTTCGAGGTCCCAGCATTGCCATAAGTCCCGAACACCTGCGTCAGAACCTGCATCAAGACAGCAATCAACCAGCATTTCAAGGTACTACCACATGAAAATATGTGAAACCACCTGAGTATCAGGGCAGAGTCTGATGTCAGGGTTCAACATGGTGCCGACAGCGGCTTTCATAGGCTTGCAATCATGCCAAACAAACCATGTTCATCAGAATAACTCGGAACAAATGGCTATTCAGAACGTAAATCATGCCAGTGTTGGTGATGGTCTTGGCAGAACAGTGATAACCACATCAAAGTGAGTAGTAAGAACTGGCCAGGGTTATCAGTAGTGAACACAGCAGCAAAGTCAAGACCCGAGATTGCTGGATGCTGCCTCCGAGGTGATGTCTGGCGGGAGGTTCCTGGCAATTCTTTAGCAGGCAGATCGTCAAAATGCGGACACAAGTCGAGGACAATTTGAAACAAATAAGTATTCAGTTACTACTAGTCCCATGTGCCTGCACATTCGAAAGACACGTGAAAGCTGAGATTCAAGATCACTTCTAGAGTTGAAAGTTTGAGCGGAAACTTTGAGGCTGCTGAGCGGGTCATGCGACAGCAAACAAGCTCCGGCACCCGACGAAAAGCTTCGCTTTTGCTGCGCCACCTCAGAGCAAATAGCATCCAATGGCATCCGGTTGGTGGTGACCCACAAGTTGCTTGCAAAGCAAGGAAAACTGAGGTCGTGCACCGTCGCCACCTTGCCACTGGCCGCCACCGCCTCCCCACTGGCCTTTGCCGCCACAGCCGCCACCGCCACCCCAGCCACAACCACCGCAGCCGCCGCAACCGCCGCAGCCGCAGCCCCCGCAGCCGCCAAAGCCACCGCAGCCGCCTCCACAGCCGCCACAACCTCCGAAGCCACCACATCCCCCACAGCCGCCCCCTCCAAAGCCACCGCAACCACAGCCACCATAGCCGCCGTAGGAACCTCCGCAGCCGCCGTACCCACCACAGCCGCCTCCGAAGCCTCCTCCGCCACAGCCTTCGCCACTATGCTCGGGCACAACAGCTCAGAAATTAGCGTCTGGGTGTCGGGCGTAGCTGCTATCCTTCTGAAAGCTGGGTGAGTGTTGAGGAGAGAAACGAGACGGCTTTTCCAGGAGCATGCGAATGCAACACACCTCGGCCCCTACCCAAAACTACAGATCCATGAGCCTCTATCCCAAATTGCCCTACCAAAAACCTGTGAGAAGCCCAGTCCTGCATGTTCCTGAGCCCTAAACCCCAAACACTAATCTCGGCTCGCGCACAATTGGGAATTCTGGCAGGCGGTTGCCAGAAGGGGATATCAACGGATTAAAGAATCTCAAAAGCAGGAACAAAGTGACCCTCAAAACCCTGACCTCCTGAGTAGCCGCCACCACCGCCGCCTCCACCCCGCTGATTCTTCGCCCAGGAAACGCGGATGGGATTCCCTCCCTGCGCGGTTCATAAGCTTGAAGAGGCAGGGGGTGAAAGCTAGGCATTGGCGCCCAAAATCATCGCAATCGTGGCAAAAGTACTGCAGTCTGGCGCGAGAATTCTCGTCAAGAGAGCGGGAATCAGAAGAGACATTATCATGTACACTCCTTGTGCTGTCAGGGGGGGGCTGAAGGACGTGAAAGGTTTTAGTGTGTGTAGCTTTGGGGCCGGTGCTCGTTGCCTTGGTTGCTGGGGAGTCCGGAAAAAGGGCTCTGCAGCACACCAAACAACAAGCGCTGTGGCGGCTTCAGGAACTGCAGACGGCTTGGGGCTCAAGGCCTATCACAAGCAGCTCGTGCAAAAACCATATGATTCTCGGCTATAGCCAACTGCAAACAGCGATAGCACTCCATATGGAGCGCCCTGCAACCCGAAATGCACTTCAGAAAACCCAAACACCATGGACTTCCCCTAACACAACCCAGTGAGGGTTTAAAGAACCACCACGAGCCCACAAGCTGCACCTCCCTGAGGGTGAGGGCGTTATCCATCCCGTTGATGGCGCTGTCGCCCGCAGTTTTGCTGCAAGACAGGCACGGTGACTTTCCGCTGAAGGGCTTTGGTTGTTGTTCTTGATATCTCTAGGTATGTATGAGCTAGAGTCCATATTTCCTCATTTAGTCAACGGACACGGGTCCTTACCAGGGAATATGTTCGTGCGTATAACAAACCACCCTAATATTGACCCTGGGGCCCTGGGCTAAGATCATAGGAATGTTTGTTGAACGTGCGGTGTGAGGTTTGGTTCGGGGCTCTGGGCTGGTGGGTTTGAAGTGTGGGAAGTGAGACGCTCCAACCTACCTTGGTTGTTAATGTCCATGACTACCCATCAGGGAGAGGAGTACGTTTCGAAGGTCGGTTCAGGTTCGATGAACCGGGTCCACAACAAATATCCAGCGCAAAGAAGTCGGCTTAGTTGCATCAGCTGTCGTCCTATGTGAGCGCAAAACCTGGAGTTTTAGACATCTCGGAACACCCCGCCACAATCTTCCAAATCTAGACCTTGCACTGGTGCGCACCTGTCGTAGACCACGAACGCACACGCCTTCCGCAAGCAAGGTTCGCATTCTGCGGATGATGTTGCTCTAGGAGTCTGGGGCAGCACGAATCATGGGAGTGGTTGATGGCGGGCATAGCGCAAAGCACTTAATCCCTTAAGACGGCCAGGCAAGCCGCCATTTATCCTTCTTCAACCTGACAGAGGATTCTCTTCCGCGTCCCTATGGGAGAGGCGCACGGACGCAATGATTCATATTCGGGGCAGAGCTTTGAGTTCAACAATGAAAGACAAGGTTTAAGGCAAAGGACGAAAGCTGCCTTCCCCGATAAGCTTGCAAGCATCTTGCCTTTGATCTCAATGCTAGAAACCCACAAAGAGTTCTTGAATCAAACGTCGAAAATCATGAAACTCTGCGGTTTCCAAGTAACAAGCTTCAGCTCAGCTTGACATGGAATGTGATCCACTATCAAGCATTGCGAATGTTGAAACCAAAAGGTTACACAATCCGTGGGAGGGAGCACCATGTCTAATGGTTTAGAGTCCGTCATAGGCGTTTCTGAAGACTGGGGTCTGGCTAATCCAGTACTCACTAAACCGAGTGCAATTGTTGACGTCCTGTGAAAAGACGGTATTCCATATCGGAATACTGTGCACGCGTGCGACATGTTAGTCAGCCACAACCGTACAACCCAGGTAAGGACCCCCGCAGAGCTTGGAGGAGGCTGGCGCCTGGCCAGACGTGGACTTCCCTCTCATGATGTGGTGCTCCACGACATTGCCTGGGCGCGTATATCGGACGAGTGAATGTCTTCCCGTTGTCTGGGGCCTACATTTTGTACAGCGTCTTGGGTCTAGGCTTTTTCGACAGAGCGCTTGAACGTCCCTGAAGTGGAAACAACTTCACACGAAAACTACATGAGCCATTCCCCGATCTCCTTTTGAAAGACTGCTTGAGGATGACTGTAACTCCTAAAGCCCTGAAGCCATGAACACTCTGATCCCTCAACCCTTAAACCGGCCAAACCCTGAGCTGAAGACCGTATGTACCAAAGGCTGTCTTGACCTCATCATCAGTGATGTCTGGCCTCGGTCAACAATAATGAGTAAGCATTGCAAAAAGAACACGTCATATTGTTGAACTTCCCTACGCTATGGAAGCTGGCTGTGTATGCGAGGGCCGCTTCTTTCAGGAAGTCGAATACAAGACATACCAAGAATGACGAGAATGATGACTGCTCCTGTTTGAACTACATGTAGCTTGCGGAAAGGAGGCCCAGTCTTTGCAAGGTCCAATAACAAATGCTCATATGATGCTTAGGTTCACGGGGCTATGGAGACCCTTGTTGTGTCACATACCACCTGCAGCAGTCTCGGATGGCCCTGCTTCGGAGCAACAATCAATATCGCTTTCATTAAACTTCATGGACATCGAATCTTATGTTAAAAATACGTCAAGGAACCTGGACTTCTTATTACAGGCATGTTACACATGATGCGAATTTGCTCTTGAGAAGCATGCGAGATTCCCAGAACGGCTTTGGCAGTGGCAGACTGGTCCGAAAAATTGAAGCATCCCGCATGCTGAGAACAGATTGGAAGGGTGATTTGCTACGTTTGCGTTCCGAAAAGGGAGCCCAGAACTAGCATCCTGAATTTCATGACATTACAAGTTGGAGAAACATTCAATACTAAGCCACAAACACACTCCATCAGACCACAGGAAGAGACCCATGGCTACAAGTTTGTCGAGATGGGTGATTCTCCTCATTGAGCCAGCCCCCCTCCTAGCAACTTTGCAACAAAATTTCGGGACATTCCTGCTGTCGGAAGCGACACGAAGTCTGAGCCCGATGCGGTAAGCTGCCTACGAACAGCTTGTGCTTGTCCTGGCTGTCTTACCCTCAGTTTTCAAGATTAAGTATTTGAGGCTCAAGGTTCAAGCTAAAGCGTTGATGGGAACAATACAGCTTCACACGCACGGCATTCCAGTGGTTATTTTTCTGCAGTGATCGCGCTGCACATCCTGTATCCTGTGCCAAACTCAAGCTTTCGAAGCTGGATCAACGCTTAGAACCTACCTCCAAAATCGGCACCCTCAAGTCAAGGATAGAACATGTTCCAATCATCGGGGACCATCCGACGCCAGAACAATAGCGTAAAACCTTCTGACGGAGCCTGGTCAAGGACGGGTTGGCATGTGACATCAACCTCCCTCCCCAAAGCAAACCTGGGGCCCATAAACGCTCCAAGAAAAAACATACCCGGATCCTTCCTGTAGAGCCTTTGGGATTCTATGTTTGAAGAGGGGAAGGGATGCAGCCCTTGCAAAGTCCTCCGCCATGATGCGAGAAGGCGCACAAACCCAAAACTGAAGGAGATGATGTTGTGAATCCCGAATTGATTTGGGAATAGCTGGCAATTTTCTGGTATGAATCTACGGCTGTTTCTGGATTCTTGTGTGGTGGCCGCAAAACTTTTGCGGGGTGTTTCCTGAAACTATGCGGTCTGACTTTTCCTGCAAATTACCTGAGGGCTGTCTAGTCGTTGTGGCAGAGCTTGGTGGTTTGATGGATTGTGGTTGTGGCTTGTGAAAAATGACCAACCACTATATGCCTGCAAGCGGAAACAACAGCAGCTCGTATGCACAGTGCCATGCACAAATATTTTGGTACGGCTGCCGATGCTGTTCGCTATCAATGCAGCTTATCTGATTATCCGGCATTTGGCCCCTTTAAAAAGCGCACAGCAATCTCAGAGGATGCACTAGGAATACTGTGAGCTACAAGACTTGGAGCTATTAAAAACCAGGAAAATTGCAAATTGCAATATTCGCCGTTCAAAAATTGCATTTTTGAGGTTCTTGAAAGGCTACCTCTGGGAGCTCTTGAAAGGCTACGAATGCTTGATGTTCCAATATTTGCGCCTCTTGGGAGAATAGGCATATATAACAGCTAGGCGCAACCAAAGACCAAGGGACCTGGGGACCAGAGGACCAAGGGCTCTGAGCCACATATATGCGAGCCACACGTAAATGAGAAAAAAAGACCCTGGCCCTCCAAATCCCCTTAAACCCTAAGCCCTAAGCCCTAGGACAAGTGGGGCCCATGGTTAAAGCCTGAACCCTAAACCTGGTCCTGGGGTTTAGGTTTGAGGGCTGAGGGTTTGAGGGGTTTAGGATTTAGACGTTTAGGGTTTAGGGTCTAGGGTCCTGGGACTGACTGAAACCGTTTTTCTGTCCGATGCCGGCAATCGCGCAGAGGTGTCGTTGGAAGTCTCGCTAGCAACTCTCGACAGTCCACGTCTCTGGGGATGGGCACTGGGAGGTTGGAGGGGTCCTAGCAAGTAGGCTAATGGGGAAAACTGGTGCTTTTAATGGTTACTAGTATGGCTTATCCCGAAACCCTAAACCCTGTAGTAACCACTATCAAGGCTTCTGCGGAGTTGTTTCTCATCTACTTGGTTAGTCCCCCAGACCCTCCAAGCATGCAACAAGTTCAGCTAGCACGCGCAGGGCTGACAAGATTTTCTTTTTCTTGGGACGCCTTGCAAAGTTCTAAACTCCAGCATTCTTCGGGCTTAAGGTTGAGGGTTTACGGCTGTGTGGATCTCATGACGGCTGCGCAAGACAGGAGTTAGAGCCTGCAACCACACACTCGATCAGCAAGGGCCAATGTTAAAGGGGACCACCTGAGGATCTTCAAAATGATGAGTTCTGTGCAATGCAGCCTGAGCCCACATGTGCGGGAACAGAACGGAAGCAGTTCTTGACTCAAGATACAAGCTGCGCAGGTGATCAATTGGAGATTCCGCGATTCTTTAACTTCGCCTGTTGCCGGGTCAGCCATCATGCATGGCCCGGCTAATTTTGGGTTCTATATAAGCCCTACTCCAGGGAATTTGATATCGAGCTAGGTTGATGTTTGATGCAATTGCACCAGCAATCACGCCTGCAGCACTAGCATATGAAGCCTTGCAAATGTCCGGTGCATCTTTAATACAAAACAGAGGCAGCGACAAATGTGCATGCCTTCGTACACTCGCGAAATTTCAAACGACTTGGGGTCTCCAAGAATAGCAGCTTACACGGCTGTAAATAAAGATTCGTCACTGGGATCCAGAAAAATTTTGAAGTGTGACATTAAAGACGTCTCCTAAACTTGCATAGTGGTCTCCTGTTCCACGTCATCTTTCAACTGTCATATCTTGCTCCCTGTTGAAGAATCCCGAATTCAGCTTACCTATCGCCCGAGAGCTGTGGTGCAGAATCCCAGTCAAGGGCATTTGAGAGGTACGCCCTGTTTCAGGAGCTTCAAGCTGTGGCCTGTGGGAACCATGTTGGTTACCTGTAGCTTTCACAAGCATGGCTTCTGTGGTTTTGCTAGAAGGTCCGCTGCCTGCCAAGTGACTGGTGCTCCAACAAGCTCAGCTAGCACGCACAAGGCTGACAAAATGCTCTTTTTCCTGGGACACCCTGCAATGAATTCAAATTCGAAACTGGGCCACCACTCTTGTTCTGCACGCTTTGCTCCTTGAACTGAACACGCCGATCTTCAACCATTTCTTTTCCAAGAAGGTTCTCCAGAATCTGCAAACGAAGGCGCGATCCGGGCGGGCCGCCTTCATCGCGCTTTGTGCTTGAGTCAAGTCTTAAGCTCTTCCACTGAGTGTGGGCCTGTCAAATTAAAGACATGATGATGCAATTGCAGAAGTACAAGAGTGAGTATCACCATTGCCCTAAATGTGAAGACATCACGCAATCAACTCAAGTCCAAGTCCAAGTGGGCTTCGCAGCAGACCAACCCCTCTTGTACTACATCTTTTTCTGGAAGATCTCCCAGTCCAGCAAGGGTGATTGTTTCACAGGTTGGCATGAGTCGCGAACACTGAGTGTTCACATAGGTGGTGAGCTCAATGGGACCCCGACTCTTTCCTCGCTTGCCGTCCTTCGCGTCGGGGTTCTGCTGCACAAAGTCGAGCAACACCTTGCCCTGCAAGCTTTCGTCTCCAGTGGTCCCCCAGATATTGAAGGCTTGCACCTGCGGGTGATGGGACTCTCTTCCTTCAACTTTTCGATTCGACGATAAATAGCCTCATACGCCCGCTTGCGCACCTTGCACAGTAAGCTCTTTTTTTCTGCGTTCATCGCATATCCTGCATTTCTTGTTCTGCCATGCCTTGCATACGTGCATGATTTCCTGGTCACGGTATCAGATACACTATCTGCCACGCGCAACACGCAGCCACAGCACCTGCGTTGCTCCTGTTCTGATGAAATGCGGTGATAGCGAACACCTACTAACATCAGCTCAAGCTAAAGTTGAGCCGGTCAAAGCTGGAAACGGGGGGGAATGTCCGCAAGCCTGTCACCTGTGCTTCTGCCCTGCATGTAAGACTCGGCAAGACTGACTCAAGATCAAGATGGGCCAGAACTCGCTGCAGGGGCTGGGTGCCCAAGTCCCAATCAACATGGCGGGCCGGCTGAGTATCCTATTAAGTGGTTAGCCGGAGCCATGCTGTTCTCAAGTGTACCGAAAGCTCAAAACAGCAGTCCCGCGGAAATTATTTCATCTCATGTGTTCCCGTTCAGCAGCAGGAATATACTGCACAAGCACAGAAAATCATTTGAAAGTCTGCTGACCCTCACTGCTCATCGCTATCGAATGTGCCTCGCCGAAGGAGAAGATAATAATTGACCAGCTTCGCATCAATCTTGCTTGGGCGCACCCTTCGTGAGCCTGGCGGAACCACTGAGAGCAAGTCCTCATCGTCATTGTCCCCACTCACATTCGAGGACACAGCCAAGGGCAACTGGACTAAATCCTGCTTGACCGGGTTTGAGAAGACATTCGCATGCCAAGCTGCCACCACACGCAGATGCGTTGCGTTTCCGTTCAAGCACATGCGCATATTATCTGTAAGACTCTCTAAGAGGCCATGGGCAAAGAGGTTATGGCACAGCATAAGTCAGGAAACAAAAACTGAAAAGGAACTCATCAGCCTTGGTAGCACGCAAGACACGCGGCTTCTGATGCCGTGACGCTGGCGGCTTTCACAAACGCAGGCGTCAGCGCCTTCAAGAAAGTGC